TTGTTGTTAAACGTTACCCCTTTTATAAAAGAATTTATTACTTTACTGCAGTTTTAAAATATTGACAGAGAAGTAATATACGGCTGCTTTTTTGAACCATGATAAGGGGGAAATAGGGGAAATACCAAATTTAACTATCTAAACGTCATGTAATTTGATAATTGTTTTTGGACAGAAATATATAATAAAATAAAATTATACAAAAGGTTTTTCTGACATGTATTATTGGCATAACTTTAATATTTAAGAAAAATTAAGAGATCAAATATAGTTATTTATTTGTTTGTAAATTGATGAAGTATATGAACTAAAGTTAATAAAATTAATACAGTTACTGTAACAATTTCTAGTCTAAGAGTAATTGTTAAAATTTTATATAATTATACTTATCGTAAAAGACATTTAAAAAGATTTTTTTGTATTGATAAATATTCTATGCTCAAAAATAGATAAACCTTCATGTTCGGGTTGATTATTTTTTCCTCCAATATGTCGCTTCCTAAAATGAATATTTTTTTTATTAATATTAACAAATTTACTTGCTTCTGCTTTAACACATTGCAGCTAAGATCAACAATAAAAAAGAAGATATATGTATGTCTTTCTTTCTAGAGCCCTATTATAATCTTTCATTAAACCATTATTCATTTTAATGTAAAGATGTTTTTTTTTAAATTTTGACAGCAAACAATGTAGATGAGCCATTTATTTCCACTAGGAATACTCTGTAGAGGTAAAAATACTAAGTACTCCAGTATATGAGGAAAAAAAATCAGCAAAGAAATGTCCAACTGATATAATATCACCGCAATACAAACACAGTATGATAAAGGGTAAAGAATATTAAGGAATCTTATGTCAGATAACCAGCTTACACGTCTAACCAGGTAGCAACCGCATGAAAAATATTGGGTACCCTAGTACTCATATATAAATAATAAGGAAAAATAATATGGAATACTGCTATTTACTAGTCCCGATCAACTATTCAGATAAGAAAAAATGTACTAAAAAGTGTTCTTGTTCTATTAACACTTAATTCTTCATACCTTATGTAAATAAAAGCAACGATAACTGCAGCAAGCAGCAGCAAAATTCCAACTCCTAACCCGATATATGGAATAGATTCGGAAGTTGATTCCTTTGTGTCATCTTTTAGCTTGTTTATTTCTGAAAAAAAAAAAATCTAGTAAAGTCTTGTAATAATAATGATAATAAAAAGTCTGTCTTCATGATTTACCAGAACCAGAGTAGCTCTCCTAGTTTGTACTCATTTCATAAATACAAAAGAAACATGGAACTTTGACTTGAACTGCGACAACAGCAATAAATGGAACTGTGATTTTGGTTAAGTCTTTTTTTGTGAAACAGTGAAGTGCAATTAATTAATTTACTGTTTGGTGTTTAACGTAAAGTGCAATTTACCTATAGCTGTAAGAAAAATATGCTTACGCGCAATTCTTTGTGATTCATACACCGATAATTCACACAAAACTTAATAACATTCCTTATGTTTACATTTTCAGTTTCTCAACGAAAGTGAGTTAAGGCTAAATATAAGCTTTTCTATGTAAATGATTTAATAAAAATGCATAAATTGTATACTTTATTTACGGAGAAAGTTCAAAGTGATTTTCTGATGCATACTTACATATGTAGTACCCAAAGTATACTTATTCAAGTGCACATTATGATGTCATATTATGACGTCATTGTTCTTTCCCATGCAAAGTAATAATGCACATCAACAAAACAACGTCGGCGCAAGGGCATATCCTATTTGATTTAAAATAAATAATGTAAAATATTCAAGAGAATATTCTTGAAATTTATAAAATTGCTGCACAAATCTTAGGCACTTTTTCAATTGATTAAAATTATAGGAAACTTACACTGGACTGTGAATTTTAACCTGTTTCATCTTAGAACGGTACAAATAGTAACTACACAATTTCTGTGTCGACATTTGTGCAGCATTATCCTAAGTCATTCGAATATTCTGCGTCTTTTTATACCTTGTTTCTCAAAAACAATATAAAATACGCCCTTGCACCATAGCGATTTTGTTGATGTTTCTTATAAACTTGTGTAGTACAGGTTGATGAAGTCATAATATGACGTCAAAATGTCTACTGGCTATTCTTTATCATGGTTACCAAGAATATATTAGGAAACAAGTTTAAACATTTTCTTTGCGGTATGTATAGCAATTATGGGTTTTAATTAAATATTTTTCATACAAACCTTCATACGTAGCCTTAACTCACTTGCGAAATCATAAAAAAATATACTCAATATTTGAATTTCTGGCTGTCCTAGATCCTAATACTTTTACTACCGTAGGTGTAACCTCATTTATGACGTCATGCTAAGGCATGTTTTTCCATGTATATTTCTACGCATGGGTATACATGAAAATGGTATTCAAATCAACTTTACAGTTGGCTTGGCAGCAAATTTGAATATTACAAATTGACTGATAGGTTCTCGCTCTTGCCAAAACTAACCTGACTGAATATGCTTTACTATTTTACATTGAGAATAATCTCACAAGACATGAAAATTTGCTGAAGTCTACTTATAAAAAGCGTTCTGAAAAGCCATGCATTTAAATAAAAAATATCTTGAAAACTTACAGATCTCGTAAGCACGTTGTCGCTGAATACTTTATCACGTTAAAAGAGTGAGTATCGAAATTTAAGACGAATAATATTATAGTTTATTAATATGATATATAAAATACAGATAATGTAAAAACAAATAAACTCACCGGTAGAACACAGATCTCCTGAATATCCAGGGCTGCATCCCGACACACAGCTCCCGTTTTCTGGATGACAGAGGCCAGATTCAGCACAATTACTGCTGCATATCGATACACAGTTTAATCCATAGTATTTTGGTAAACAGGCTAGAAAAAAAAAAACATGTTATTTTGTTTTAATATTTTGGAAAGGATTTTCATGCATTTGCTCAAGTAAGAGTTAAAGTTCTTATTAGAGGGTTGATGAACTTTGAACTTTTAAATTATAAAGGCTCCTTCTATCCTGTAATTTTACAGTTTGAGTCTAGTTATAAGAGTAGACTATCGTTAAGGGTTGATTGGAGAAAATTGACATTAGCAGTATCTAAGCTTCTTTTTGTGAAAAAGAGTCTAATGTTCTTTGGTTTGTCTTTCCAACTGTTGCTCGAAAAATACTATATATTATTTGCATGCATTATACACATGAAAATTTTAAAATTCTATAAAAGTTAGTAAATAGATAAATAGGATTCATTAAAACTTACGTTTATCACATCTTTTGGGTTGTAAACCAACAGCTGAACAGCCTTGATTACAATCGCCATGAACATGGTTACAACCGGCTGCACAATTGTTGTTGCATTGATATAGACATTTTTCACCATACGATCCCTCAGGACATGCTTGAAAAAAAAGAAATATTCAATGTATTCCCTGATTTCATCTACCTTTCACTCTATCACATTTAGTTATTCTTCCAGGCTTATATTAATATATATCTTAATGTAAATGTATATACTACACTCAATTAAGTGGTCAACTCTATTAAAAAATCCCGGTACACTTATGAATATTCTGTATAAATATCTTGCTTATCAATCTCATATCTATACTACTGAACCTTGCAATAATCGATTCCTGTTTTGTATTATAAGTGGCAGGGCTTACAGGCAGTCAGAATAATGCCTCCAGGTAACACAAACTGGTGAATAATATTCATCTTTTTTACTAATTCATATTTGAACACACGAGAAGCTGTTGTAAACTACTTAATTTAGGAGGGGGCGAATGTGGTTTTCATTTCAGAATAATTCGGGCATCATAGTAAATTCGCTTATTTCGCTTATTGATAAAACTTAATAAACGTAAGAAATTAAAGGTATAAAAATGTAATTCAATTTAATATTACTGATTTTTTTTTCAATCGATTTTGCAATTTATAGGTAGATTGACGTCGTGATATTGTGTTTTTGACGTTATGATAAACTAAAACTGTGCAAAAAAGTGGTAATAAAAATATTATTAAAGAAAAAGTAATAAACATACACTATTGAAATTTTAAACATAGAGAATATCTCCATGATATGTTTTATGTTTTATACAATCCTTTGTGTCTGTCATATTTTGTAAACAGAAAAAATTGTTAATTTGTTATTTTTGAGATACACCTTTGGTAAAAGAGGGTAGAATATTGTGTTTCTAACATGAAATGTACAATAACGTACAATGTATTACTCAACAATCATTATATTTTCAACAAAATGTTTATTGTAGTGGTTGTAAAACTTGCTTTGAAGTGCTCAAAATAGGTATTTTCCTCTATAATCCTGTAGAAAATGTACCTGTACTCTGAGACGGTTTCCTTAAAATACCTGGACGGTCGATTTCCCCCAAACATGGCATGTACACTGAAGTTAATTTAAGTTATGTATACAGTTTGGCACGCCAAAATACAAAAAATAAGATAAACACAGTTTCACAGTCGATAAATTACGTTTATTGGTTGTAAACTATAGTTTACGGACTGTAAACCATAGTTAACGCGATAACCTATGTTTCAGAACCGCAAACTATACTTTACAATGAAAACAGTCCTTTGCGATAGCAAAACATAGAATATCTGATAAATACATGTTCACGATTTATAAACTATGATCTACAACTCTTAACTATGGTTAAGGTTCTGATAAATATAGTTTCACGATTTGTGAAACTATGATTAACAGCTCAAAACTTATAGTTCACGATTGTAAATTATAGTTTACAGACGTGAGTCTAGGTTTATCAACAAAATCCATTGTAAACGTTTTATTACGGACAGATAAACTTATATATTAATATTCGCAAACTATATTTAACAACCGTTCAATATAGTTTTAGATGAAAACTATAGTTTAGGAATTGTTAACCATACATAATGAGTTGTTAACTTTACTTCAGGATATCTAAACTATAGTTTACAGTTTATAAACCTAGACTTTCTCAACTGTGAATGTTCAGCTCATTTTTGTGAATTTCTCGTGCCAAATAAATATTGTATAAAAATGAAGAGTTTCGCTATTGTAGTTTTTTACACAATAAAACCGCAGTCGCCCCCTTAAATACTTCCAACAAAAACTCATTTTCAATTATTTCAATTTGAAAATACACATAATTAAGTAATAAATGTATCATGCAGACTAGAGCATAATCAGCACATTACAAAAAAATCTTTTTGTTATAGTGTATATTATGTATCAAAAACACTTTCAATATGATAGGTAAAGGGGCAATGACAAAACCTAACGCTTCTAAGTAAAGAGACATCATCAAACTTGGACCTGAAAAACTTAAATTCAATCGTCTTACTGAATATTCCAGAATTTACTTTTAAATGTACATATCTATTTAATAGTTAAAACAATCCTGTGCATTTGACCATATTGCATCATATCTTTTAAGCTCCAGTAAGTACATTGAGTCAAAATGTATGTTTTGTCTTGCTTATTGTTTGTTTAACTTACGATTGTCACATCGAAACCCTATCCATCCGCTTTTACAGCCACCATCACATTCTCCTTTACGACTACAAGTGATGTTGACACAATTCTTACTACAAGAATCAGAACATTTCTCGCCGAACTTTCCAGATTCGCATTCTAGAAAAAAAACATGCAGAAATTAAAGCACATTGAAACAATGTCTATCAAGATTTACAACTTAAATTAAGAAGTAAATTATATTTTTAAAAAAATCAGATTTTTATAACTTATGCACATTTAAAATGAATTACATGCACAATTATTAAATGAGGTTAACCTTCACAAAATAATCCCTTAAACCCTGGTTCACAGGATGGACAATGTCCATTTGTTTGTTCACAAACTTTTCCAAGGCAAGAGATGCTGAATTTTTCATGCATTTTTGACCAAAATCCTGTCTTACAATTAACCAAATGGTGTTTTTCGATCACAACTACCACCATTTTCACAAGAATATTCACAGAATTCGCCATATCTGTTCTCCATGCATGTACCGCATCTCCCAGTAATATGATCACATATTTTATTTTCACAAAACCTAGCATGTTTTGCTGCAGTTTACCCCAAAGGTAGTTGACCACAAGCTTTTGAAAAAAAGTAAATTGCAAATTTTTTCTCAAAAATTCAGAATCCTCTAATTTCTATTTAAAGTATATGAAGTATTAGATTTTTTTTATCAAGTTTATTCCTACAATCTTCACCTATAGCTACATGTAAATAAAAAAATCATAAAGAATTCGCTTAAATTAAAAACGTGTAGGTTTATGTTAATATCACAGGAGACAGTTTTGGGAAATCATCATGAACAAACAAAAACCCTTTTTTGAAAGATTTATGGATTTGGATGCAATAACTTGCCAATATAAAAAAAAACTCTAATTATGACTGATTTTCTTAATTTTTCATTGAAAATGACTGTTTAAATTTGGTTTTTTATCTCGTTTACAAATTATACACTAAACTTCTTCTTTGGCCAAGCTTAAGTGATAAAGCATCATTGAAGGATTTTATTTTTCAAATTTGATAAATCTGTAGGCATCTCTCATTTACTAGATCTTGACCTAATATGACTAGGTTGAAGACTCGAGAGCATAATTACCATGTTCTGGGTTTAATGGGTTCCCTACGCACGATAAAGATCGAGAGTGTAGAAAAGACACAGACGGAAGAAGACTGTTTTCATTTAATTGTTACAGTGTAATGCTTGGCTAAATACCCTTTATATCTTCCTTACTTTCATTACAATATTCACCGCTCCAGCCTTCTGTACACCCGTGAATGCAGACACCAGTGAAATTGTTGCACACTTGTCCAACTCACTGCTTAATAATTTACAGTTTACACTGCATGGGATACAACTATCTCCATAATTGCCGACAGGGCACTCTAGAAATCAAGAATGTAAGAAAAAGATAACACCCATTTACTCTTAAAGTATCTATACATTGTGATCCCAAAAAATTGCAACATAGATTAAAATTATTCTGAGGAAACATGTAATTTTATGAAGGCTTTTATGAAGAAAAACGTGTACTTTTATGAAGAACTTTATGAAGAAATACTTAAGATAGAAGTCACAAGTTAGGAATTTTGTTCTGAAATATCCGTGTATAGAGCCCTGTATTGCTTTTTACTAATAACGTTATCTAAGAAACAAACAAGAATATTCGTCCCGTTACAAAATATGCCTTTCCAATTGTTTTTACAGGATGTACATTCACCCGTTTGTTGATTACAGATCCCGTTCTCACAATTAGGACTGCACCTGGATGCACAATAAGCTCCAAAATAACCGCCTTTGCATTCTGCAGATAATCAAAGTTAGCTTAGGTTCTGAGCTCACTTCACTTTTTAATAGCGACAGCTAAAAATTGCAGGAAAGCATTCTTGATTAATTCTATATTACATCATATTAAGCACCAACCAGCTACCATGTGTATTCATTATACCCCCCGCTTGAAAAGTGGGGGTATATAGTAATCGGTATTTCCGTCCGTCCGTCCGTCCGTCTAGCTGTACGTCCGTCCGTGTTTACGAGAGTGCATTTATTGGGTATTTTTCATGCCAAGATTGTACTTATTGGGTACTTTTTGCTTATTGGGTATACCCAATAAGAAGTGTCGCTGAATATGCTTAAAACACCCTAATTGGGTATTTGCAGGTTAGTACCCAACAAAACTTGGACACGACGATTTGTCCAAAAAAGTGTCCAAAAAAGTTGCTTTCACGGACGCACCGTGTTTTGTTGTTTCAGTTTTACATTCGGAACTCTAAATTCTCAAGAGTTCCGAAAATCAACTTCCGTTGATCCTGATCATAACAACGTTTGTTTTCATGGAAAAAAAATATGGCGACTAAGAAACACTTAATGTCAACAAGATTTTCTGATTGACAAGAGAAAAGGTAAGTTTATTCGATTAATATTTATCCATTGCTGGGTTCTTGTTTAAGGAAAATAGATTTTAATGTAATTTTGAAAACAATTGTGCACAAAATTAAAATAGATATATCGGAACAATTAATCCTAAGTTGCACTTGTATTTTGAATTTTCTCTGTCTTTTTAACTCTCTTGAGCATGTTGAGGGCGAGAAGTATTTAGTAAATGATCGTATATTGTTAGGTAATCTTTAATGAATCGAAAGTGTTTATTATTTAATTTTATATCATAACCAAGTAAATATGTTCTGACAATGTATATTGGAAAGGGAAATGAAAATTTTAACAATCGTGTGTTCATAAATCAGCTGTAAATTATCGGTTCATGTAGACAGTATTACAATCGCAAAGTGAGCTGAGATGATGATAAATGGGATAATTGACAACATCTAAATAATTTTATGTAAGTTTGTATCATCTGATATGTAACTTAAGAGAT